AGCATACCTTTTCATAACTTTAACAGCTTTGAACTGGAACATCAGCATACCTTTTCATAACTTTAACAGCTTTGAACTGGAACATCAGCATACCTTTTCATAACTTTAACAGCTTTGAATCATGCGTCGTCATACATTTAATAGCCATTAACAGTATTGACAAAACACAATATTATGCTAGTATTAGATATTGGTCAAGGCTAAAAATGTGTTAAAATGTATTTAGAAGTGAAATCACAGAAAATACTTCTTTTCTGCTGAGAAAGTCACTGAATGCGGAAAACGAATCTTTTAAAGAGCGAGTTTTCTTATGTGTTCGTAAAATTAAATTGAATAATTATTTCATATAAGATAGATTAGTTTGAGGCAAAATGCGTCACTATTTGAAGTAATTTACAGATTTCTGCAGGTATAGTGTTAAGATATATATATATATATATAGTGAGATTCTGTCATTTACCTGTTCTAATTGTTTGTCATTTCTATGAGGTACATGAAAAACGGTGAAATCAAGAGATCATTGCATTGCTTAAATTATAGCTACTTTAATATAGGTATTGGAGATAAGTAGGAGAGCACTAAATAATGAACAAAAATGAAATAAGAAAGCGATATCTATTGGTTGAAAGTAACGTAATTAGAAGTAAAACTTAGGATTGACAACAATAATACACATACAAATGTACGTAACTATTTATGTATACACTACACACACATGGATAAATTATGTATACATTCATATATAGATACAGACGATCTATATATATGTGTACATGCAACAATAACACGAAAATAACTTGTATTAGCACCTTTAGTTCCAATGGTCAGTTGGGTGCTCTAAGTTTTTACAGTTGTCAGTTGGGTGCACACAATGTTTACAGGCGTCAGTTAGGTGCTGTCAGTGTTTATAGCCATCAGTTTTAGTGCACTTAGTGTTTACAGTCATCAGTTGGGTGCTCTAAGTTTTTACAGTCGTCAGTTGGGTGCACACAATGTTTACAGGCGTCAGTTAGGTGCTGTCAGTGTTTATAGAGCCATCAGTTTTAGTGCACTCAGTGTTTATAGTCATCAGTTGGGTGCTCTAAGTTTTACAGTCGTCAGTTGGGTGCACACAATGTTTACAGGCGTCAGTTGGGTGCACACAATGTTTACAGGCGTCAGTTAGGTGCTGTCAGTGTTTTTTGAGCCATCAGTTTTAGTGCACTCAGTGTTTATAGTCATCAGTTGGGTGCTCTAAGTTTTACAGTCATCAGTTGGGTGCTCTAAGTTT